AAATTGAAGCAATGATACATTAATGTCGTCTTCCGGAATATGGCATGTACCCGGAGTGGTTTTTAGGTCACGTAATCAATATTAAGGAGGGATTCTTCTCTTATTCTACTCATATTTCTCGTATTTAAAAATTAATGAAATTTTCAGAGATTCAAGAAGACAATATCACTAAGTGATGGTATCAATTAGATTAAATTTGACCGTTTTATTTTGGAAACAAGGTCAGGTCAAGGTCATTATCTTTTTCCTTGACATTTAGAGTAAAAAATTACTGTTGCTAATCATGTGATGCCTTTTTCTATTTTAAAAGATAAAATGTTTTTTTCTTTTTGCACAAAGTATGTTACCATATCGGGTCTATCAGATGATTCTACCAAATTAATTGACATTATTTAACTTAAATAGATATTGGCTAATCCAGATTTCCTCTGTTTTTTCTTAATTTTTTAGGATATATTAGTTATTTTTATATACTTCTTATATTTAAATATTTCTTATTTTTACATATGGTAAAGAATTCATATAAATATACAAAATGATACAAAAACAAAAAGCTTTGACCGCTTAGTAAGAGAGAAAAAACACTTTTTACTGATTTTTTTGCTCAAATCTGTTTTAAGGTTGGAGGCTTTCAAAAGCTAACAAGATTTTAGTTTGTTTAGAAAATCATTTTTATTTGCTATGTTTTAAAACTTTAGGACATTATTATTAATTTTAGTTACATATCAAAATTTCTTCAAGTCTTTGATTGTTTAAAAAAATTAACCACATGTTATGTTCTGTAAGTGATTTTACTAGGCAGAAAAGGAGATATTTTCATACGCCGCAGTTGCGCCAAAAATATAGTCCCTTATGGATTTCAAACTCAGTTTACCATTTCTATTTAAAATTGTACAATTATGATGAGTAAAGAAAAATATGATCTTTTAAATATATTACAGCTAAGTTTATAAGACATACAAGCAAATATACTTGGAATATTTTGTCTAGTCAGAAACCAGACAAGAATCCCTCCTTAATAGAAGGCGGGGCTTTCGATCGGTGTCATTGTTGACATCTCTCTCTCTCCCCCCCTCTCTCTCTCTCTAGAAATTCGAATATGTGTATGGCATATTACAGCAATGTCAATATGAAATTAAATAGAAAAATGTGTGGACACGCAAAATTAAAACAACATTTAATTTGCTAAATTCTGAAAACGGCAACCAAACACGCTCAAAGATGTGATTTAGAACGAGGTCAGGTTGAAGAATACAATGTAACTGTTTTCACGAGTACACTCGCAGGTGGACATCACGTGATGAATTGTAATATTTAACAGGTCAATCGAAGTCAAATCTAGGTTAACTCAGTTATAACAATGGAAACGAGAACTTTGTTTTGAACATGTTTTTTGTTAAATTAAGTGTGAGCGCACATTTGTCGGCTCTTCTCCTTTTAATATGACATTATTTTGTTCAATATACAACTACAGTTTTCTTAAGAACAGCCGACAAACATGCGCTATGTATTCAGACGATGAAAAACGCGTGACCCTGATTATATATTGATATTCAAGAAATCTTCAGGCACCATGCCTTCGATATTTATTTAGTTTACCTCGAAAAGAGTGTTTTAAATTCACATCTGTACCATGAATTCACGGTTAAGATATCTGGGATTTATTTGATGGAAAGAAATAATCATTTTATGAAACTTTAATTTACGGCATTTTTTCTGGCCAGTTAAGTCCACCCATTCTTTTTCCTAGCCATTGTGCTCAGGTGAGCGATGTGGCCCATGGGCCTCTTGTTCATACCTACTAGCCCAGTGGGACAGTGAAAGTAATAGATTGACCAGTAAAATTTAAGTTGATAGCCCAAGTGACTAGCTCTGAAGATTGTCTTGAGGATGAGTAGGGTGCACTGATACACAACCTCATGTATATGATACATATCACGATATTCAGTCCACCATATGATAAATATCACGATATGACATTTTTTATGAATATAGGTAAACAAACACGTCTTTCACATTTGTTATCATATTGCTATTATGACAGATTTTTATCAATTGTTCATGTTTTTGAAAATAAAAATACCAATTTGTCAACTTGGTCTGGATTGAGGGTAGATCTTTGAGTTGTGACAATATTCCCTAAACTAACAAAAAAAAATTAATCAAGAACTGCAGTAGCTGGATTCATAGCATAGTCTTACTTAGAAGGGGGAGTCTTTCTAGTTTGGAACTATGAAAGATTTTTATGGCATCAAGCTCTAGAGCTTGAACGTCATCTAGTTATGGCCCCGATCAAAATTGCCATCGAATTTTACGTAACCAAATGTGTCAGTCGATGCATCCGCAAAATAAAATAGTAATACATGCAGCTATAAATCAATTCCTTTGAAAATGCTCACAATTGATAATAACTTGAAAATAAAATTGCATCAATTATATCTACAATTAATTCTATTACAAAACAAAGGTACTATGTTTATTTTCACACAAGAAAAACATGATAGTTGTTGGGGATGAATTTCTAAAGAAAGGGCTCATCGAATGACATGAATAAGGTTTTGGAATGATAACAACTTAATAGGCGGTAAAACATTCACAAAATTACATAAACACGAATACTAGAGGACCTAAAATAATGAATTTCAAAATCTGAACTTGCTTTTACAATCTAATGACCAATTTTATCATTAAAACCGAAGTTATTGACCTGTTTTACTATATTTATCCATTTCCCATTATACCCATATACCACGCTCGATCGTAATCGTAACAGAGCAGAGTTAGGTTGTATAGAAGCAATTACTAAAACAGCGCTTAGACATTGGCAATTAGGAAAACATTATATAAATTTTATAAAATAATATATAAATCCTTCATAGTTCTTCAACTGACTGGAAGAGATGAGTTTGATATTCAGAATGAATTTTAGACTGGCCTGCCTGTCTGATATGTCGAACGGTGTCTGGTCAATTCAAACCCAGCTCTATTCGGATCATGACATAGAGCCCTTGGACTATAATAGTTGACATTCTGTTTACAAAAAATTTTGTTAGGCTACCTGAATCATACAATTGACTTTTGCTTTCTTCAAATTCAAAAATTGACATGCATTGTTTTTCATGTTCGACGCTATTGAAGCCTTTCAGGCTTTTGATTTTTTTATGCCAACACTTGCACTGATATATATTGGTTAGAATTGTGTCCATTTTTTTTTTTTCACTTGACCTTCCCTACAACCTCTGACTATAGAATTTGTTGTGTTCAAAACTCATTTTTAAAGAAACTATTTAAGATATTTTCATCAAATTTCAGATGCTTATACAAATTGATGAGAGCTATACAACTGTAGCATAGTCTTACTATTCATTTACCCTAATTATGAATAAAGAAGCAAAGTAAATTTCTTTTCATGTTGCATTACTAATGCACCTTGGGCAGGGTATTCGTGTCTTATGGACATATCTCTAGTTAACATGGTTAACTATGAAATGTTTTAAAAAATTTAAATTAAAAAAAATTCCTCATTACATTACATCTGTTTATTTTTAGCTATAAGAACACCTTCACCACCACAATCAGCCGAGGACAAATTCAAAGCTAAAGCATCCCAGTATGGAATTGAGATCAGCAGTACAGTGGAACAGTTTCTGAAAACCCAAGAAAAGGACCAGAAAATGAGGATGATGACAAGTGTTACTAAATCAGATGGTGGTCCAAACCTTAGTCAAAATAAGCATGACCTAGACATGCTCAGTAGTTTCCAAGAAAAAGGGCTCACAAATGGAATTATCATACAGAATTCTGAAGAGATACGTCAGACTGACTGCAGAGGGATTGAAGAAAATATAGACACACTAATTAGTGGTGAATGCAATGCAGGAAACGAGTTACTTGGTGATGAGGAAAGAGATTCTTCTTGGAACTTAAAGAGGAATGATTCTGTACTATCATCTATGTCTACAAACAGTGAGAATTTAGATTCTGAAGAAGACAGTTTAAAAGGAAGTTTAGAAAGTCAGAAAGATAATGCTTCATGTGAAAACTTTGAAAAGAAAGTTGAAAAGCATCAACAAGATCTACATAGGGAGTCCACTTATGTTAAAGGAGATAAAAGTGAAAGTATTGATGATATAGCTAAAAGACTTGTAAATGATGCCATTGTTACGGCAGTAAATGAACTGAAAAAGGAAGTGGAAGGGAAGGAAACTGGAGAGAGTAAAAAGAAGTTGTACTCTTGGCAGGCCAGATATGGGAGTGATAAACAGACAAATAGACAAAGTGTTGACACCAATAAATCAACCAAGCTGTCAAGTGTTTTGAATTCAAAACTTCTCAGAACTGTACTTGATCCAGGATCTCCTGAATTTATGCCAAAAGAGAAAACACAATCCACCCTAAACCCTGTTTCTCCTGAGTTCACTCCATCTGCTCGAGTTGGTGATCCTCACAGCATGTCTCTAGTACATTCTGTGTCATCTTACAAAGAACCAACAAGCTATTCGTTTGATCCTGCTCATCACATACACAAACTGAATCAGAGTCACGGCCATTACTCCAAGAACGCCTCATGTCAGACCTGGGTGGAACCCGTGGTGGACGTGTCCTGTAACACTATCAGAATTAAAGTTAAGGACCAGAGTGTGGAAACAGGCACATGTGATTCAAGGGAAGTGGGCGTGAACACCACTGAGACATTTGAACAAGAAGATGATGATATAATCATTATTCCTATGAATGAACTTCGAACCAAGGTTTTGGAAACTCAGGTAGAGAATTGTTTTTTGTGCATTAATAGTGATAAACATCCAAGGTTAAATATGAAACATCAAATGGATAATCTTTATTTTCACATGCCTCTTTTTTTCTAGAGGGAATTGTTATTACTGAAAGGAAAGGTGTGTTTAGATGAAATGGAAAGACAGGTGACAAGCCTGGAGAAGAGCAAGGACACCTGGACAAACTATTTTGATCTAGAGTAAGATAGAGAATTCTTGTTTCTTGAGCATTTGCAAAGTGGTCCATGATTTCTTGATTTCACATAAACATTAGCATGTAATAGACATTAGTAGCGATATATACAAGGAGTACAAGTGTCTTTGTTAGGTTGTTTGATAATGTTCTATTTTCTTGTGTTTGATGAATTCTGGGGACTCTAATATTTGCAGAGAAATGGATGTGGGAGAAGTGATAGACAAACAGATCTCTGATCTAAAGAGAAACATCCGGAGTCTCTATGTATGTACAGCGTATTAATGAAAAGGTTTAATTCGAGCAAAGTAACGGATCAAAATTGTAGTATTTTAGGATTCAGTATTGAAATAAAAGAAAGTGTTCTAACAGTTACTTGAATATAGTAGTGATTTGGAATCATTTACTTGTATTGTTAAAATTCATTACTAATTATTAAAAAAATGAATACTAGCATTAAGCACTAATATTGCTTGTGTTAGTTTAAAGTGATTATGATTATAAAATGATGGTTTTTCATTTGCTAAATTAATATAAAATTTCCTTAGGAGGAAATAGAAACTGTACAAGAGAAGCTAGATTCAGGTGAAATTCTGTCAGAAGTGCCTTGCTTTGAAGTCAATTTTCCAGTTCAGCCTAGCCGGATGGTTAATAAAAAGGTACAGAAAATATCATGATTGCTTTTATCTGTTGATATATTTGTTTAAAATAAAAATTCTTGGTGGATATTTTATGATATTACAGTGCCTGGGAAGGTCAAGCAACAGGTGGGGCCAATGGCCCCACTGTTCATAAAATGATGGGTCCATTTTGAAATTTAAGGGGCCGAGGGGAAATATATTGGGGCCATTCTGAAATAAATCATAGTATGATGCTATAGGATAATGCATATATCTCTAATAACAAAATTTAGGAAAATTAAAAAGAAAAATGCGATAGGAATTGACAAGTCATATGACATTGACTAGTACAAATGATTTTTCCGTTTCAAAGAACTTCAGTCAATTGTCATCTAGATTCTAACCAACTAGTATTTAGAAAAATTATATTTAAACCAAAAGCACCATTTTTTAACGATGCCGATTTAGAGATCACGGGGCAGGCTAAAATACATTGTAAATGGACTTCGTTGAAAAGGTTTTTCATTGTAAGGTATATAAATTAAATTTTCCATGTGCGTGAGTTTCGTAAAGCTGTGGTCAACCATCAAAAACAACTAGACACTTACGAATCAAACAACATGAAAAAAAAAAACCTGTTTCTTTGCCAGTGGATGTCTATATGCCAAATGATGGTTCTGATTTTATTATATAATACATCACAGATTCCATCTTACTTTGATGAAGAATACAGATAGCGCGGACTGCGAAGAACTTGCAAAGTAATAAAACATGCATACCCGCATTTTGCGGGGCGCGCCACATGGCGCTGCGCACCATTATTTCATTGCACCATTTTTCAACAGTATGCGCATATGGCGCATGGCGCGGCCCCTTCCCAGGCCCTGGATATTATCTCAATGTTTCAGTTGTATCCACCAAAAACTATCGAGAATTTGAAAACGATTTAAAATTTAGATTACTGTAATTGGAAATGAAATTCACTGGTTTTATTGGTTAAGATGTATATATTTTTCAGAAACTAAAAAGTCTTCCAAGTGCAGATCAATACATGAACTCTCTCTCTACTGCAAGGAAAACAACTGTTGTCAATACAAGCTGGTCTAGAAATATTCTGGAGGAGGTCAGAGGTCATCCGGAGGAAGAGGAAATAACAATAAGTCCTGATAATTCATTAAGTGAAAGTCAAATCACAAAGAAAAAATCCAAAGGCAAATCTAAGCAGAAGAAAAGCAAGTCTGGAGGAAAGGTTCATGTGCAGGAAAAATCTTCAGATGTCAAGGTCAAAAGGGAAGGGGACAAACCAGAAATAGAAGATCAAGTGGAACATCAGGAGAAATTAGACAGTGTAGATGATGCTTTCATTAGGGTAATTATTAGTGCTTGAAAAGAAAAACAGATACTGCTTACAAGATTATTTTTGCTCATTGTTATTTTTATACCCCCCACCTGAAAAGTGATGATATATAGTGATGGGGGTGTACATCCATCTATTTACTTTTTTTTCACTTTCATCAGTTAAACACGTAAAACTTAAACAGAATACATGTGTACCTATCTAAATAAAAGACAATATATAGGAAATGTATTTTTTTTTTTTTGAGGAGGAAATAAATGTATGATAATCATAATGTCTTTCGGTAAAGTAAAAGTTGGACCCTTTAAAATGGTCGCCTATTAATGGTGTCTAGTTTTGTTTTAACTCTTGTAATACCTTTCTTTAGTCTTTCTTTTCAATATTTAAATTTCTAGAATTAAATAAATATGTTTTACAAATAGGTCACAGGGGATCAAGGGCATTTGTCTTCAAATGAGCAAGTGGTGCAGTATTTGCAACAAGAATGGGAAAGGTCTGTGCCCCAAGGACTTGAAAAATATGGTGATTATGCAACCCCAGCCAGGACCAGCTTGGAACATTCTGAAATAAAGAATTCTAAGCAAATGCATTTTGAAAGTGGTGAAAGAGACTATGAACTTGAACCTTCAAGTTTGGATTCCATAAGTGTTTGTAGTGGGAAAATGAAATCCATTTCTTTACCTACTAATACAGAGGAAGAGATTATACAGCAATCTAGTCATGCTTTACAGATGGAGAACATACAGACATCACAAAGTTTTCAAGATCAAGTTGAATTATATGAAGATAAAGGTGGCAGTGTTGAAGGGAACATTACTTCTCAGGATGGATCAGCTGACCTTGGTAAAATTTCTTGCACTGAAACAAAAGCTGATAATGGACATGATTTGAAAATTTCAGTTCAATTGGAAAATCAAAAAAATGACCAAAGCAACATTAATGCCCAGCCATTGTCTGAAAATCAAAGTGTACAGAACTTGGTAGTCCAAGAGAAGACATCCTTAGCATGTTCAGAGTTGAATTCTAAGGCAGTTAATGCTGATGTCTTGCATCAAAATATGCTAAAACAGGGTGTAACTGTTGACCCAATTCTATTTGAGGCAGTGAAAGCACAGATTGCTCAGGTGTATCCAGATTTTGCTAAAGATCCAGCAATGCTGAATTCCATTAGCCTTCAGCAGACCATGGTGTTACAAGCCTGTATGCTATCAGGTGGAAATGTGGGGACTGCAGGGATGCTTCCAAATATGAACTCTGAACATACAACATCTGAACAGGAAAAGAGAAGCTCTGCTGAAAGCCTTCCTAGGGATGAACTTAAAGATACCACCAGCTGTGTTCAGTCATCAAAGTCATTATCATCAACAGATGAAGCTGCAGGAATCTCTGTGCCATCTATAGCAAGTGGTGCCATTCCAAAACGCTCAAGTTCCTACAAAAATTTGGGAATTGCTGCACGTCAGTTGCCTTCGAGGTCAGGATTATCTGCAGGACTATTTAAATCACCCCTGAAAAATGAATTTGATATGCCATTTGAGGTTAATCCAGGGATTGCACCCCCACCAGATCTTGTTGCTGAATCAAATGCCAACATTTTGTCAAAATCCTCAAATTTATCTTTTGAAAACACTAACAGAAACTCCAGCAGTTTACCTAATATTCAGACAACTGTAGAAACTTCAGGAACTAAACCTTATGTAGATCAACACCTTTCAACAGAGAACCCTCAGATTGCATGTCCACCTCCACTAAATTTAACACCATTCACCTCAGATATCAAGGGCCACAAACCCTACCATACTAACTCTACTGTGTCTAGTTCAAGTGTTGTCTGTGCCAAACCGGAGGATACTTGTCTCAGTGTGAAGGAACTTTATTTTCAAGACACAGAGGGGCAGCTTCAAAAGCATGTCAACCAAAATCAAGAACTGAATAAATCAAAGGGGCTAGAGGCAAAGTTTAGCAATTTGGACCGTACATCAAGTATAAATCATGATAAGTTTACAAATTATGAAGAAAGTTTGTCCACACTGAGGAATTGTGCAGTAAAACCAGTAATAAAAGAGGATTCCAAACTTGAAACTCTGAACTTAGATGAGATTGAAGATGATGACATGGAAGAAGAGGAAAGGCAGTTTGAAATGAAGTCCAAGTCCTCTCAAGATGTATATAATCAGTGGCAGAAGCCATTGATTAAGAAGACAGAAGAGCTACCTCCCCCACTAGAGGTCAACCAGGAGCACCATGTGATGCAGAAACTGGGCAGTGTAGTGAGTACAAAGAGAAGACCAATGGAGAAAGGGTCATTGAGAGAATGGATGAAAACAGACAAGCCTGGTAATACAATTACTTTTGTCATGGTAATATGTTTTGAAAAATAAGATATTTTCTATAGCAACCAATTTATTGAAAATGTCACAGTTTTAAATAGCCATTGATTTTATTTTCAGTGGAGGTTGGTAAAGATGCTGACCAGTTAGACCAGATCTCCTGTACTTCTGACATTCCAACATCTGAAGGGGCTCAGAGAGGATCAGGAAGACAAACACCATCCAATGAAATGACTGATGAAGAGAAAGAAAACTGGACTGAGGTGAGCTATTTTTTTCCTCAATTAGATGTTTTTAGACGCTTTTTGATTTCACTGACAATTTCACACATGCTTCTGACGTTAGAAACCATTATTTTTGAAAATATTAGCCTTAGAGATTGTCACATAATGTTTAGTAAACTTTTATGTCTAATAATATTTTATAGGTCACCAAAAAAGGAAAGAAGAAAGAACTGACCCAGCTTCCCCTACCCCCACCTCTTCCACCACAGAAGAATTTATCCCAGAAAGCGTCAACTGCAAGCGAAAAGGCTAACAATTTTGAAAAACTTGTTCAGCGACTTTCAGAAATCTTTGCAGGACTTAATAGGTTAAAGTCCAGTTTATTTAAAATTTTAGATTTTCCAGAATATTGAAATCTTAAATAGTTAAGTTAAAGCTTTGTTTGTGTCATGAACCCTTTCAGTAAGGTATTTCAGCTGTAGCAATAGTCCTTATCTGTGGTATTTTTACTGTGCACAACTTGATAGCATTTCACTATAAGAAGGGAAAATGGAAATAAGTAAATCAGCAATCCTTTAAGATGTTAATTAAGGAATAAAAGAGTTTGAATAGAAGTGTCTGATTACAGAGAAGAAGTGATAAGTGTGATAACATCGGTCAGGAAGCAGAGAGGGGGACTCAGTGGATTATCAGTCAAGGACATTGTAGCCCACGCCCGAGTGTTTGCCACACAGATCATGAAAAATAAGGTATGCCTTCATGCACAATATCATATTTCACAGATGCATTTTCTGTCAATATCAGAAAAGGACAAATATCAGGTGATGTCCTTTCAGCGAAGAAAAATTATGAAAAGAATTTTGTGTAATATAAATGTCATCCCCATCAAGTTTAATGTTGAAAACACAAAAATCCTGAGAAAATCTTTTCAAAATTTTACTTGAATGCACACTTGAGAAAGTTCGAAGCATTGATGAAATTTAGCTCTCTCCTTAGCTAAAGAATCAGGTGAACTTTTCTGATCTTGGGGTGTCTGTCTGTCACCTGATGTCTATCATCTCTAAACTTTTTACATTTTTGACTTCTCAAGAACCTCTGGCAACAGTGGTTAAAAGGAATTCAATAGGGCGGCTAGAGGTTTCCTATTGTGATATATTGAGATTATTTTGTTCTTTTTCAACATGGGGTATATGTCATAATTATTTCTCCAAGAAAAGCGGTTATAGGCAATGATGTAAATGTGAAATAGATCTATATTGTTTACTTACACTGGAAATTTGGAAAAGTGCATGCAAATAATATTTCAGTTACTTTATCTTGATCTTATATAATGTTGTGAGTACTTTGATCTATTTCAAATGATGACTGCACTTGATGCAGTTTTTTTTGGAGGGGGGGTCTTTTTCAGTTACTTTCGCTTTTATATCTTAAACCTAATTTCACTTTATTTATCAAAGCAGTTTTTTTTTTTTGGGGGGGGGGGGTCTTTTTCAGTCACTTCTTTTGCTTTTATATCTTAACCTAATTTCACTTTATTTATCAAAGAATCTTGTCAATTTTTAACCAAATGTTAAAATGATTCTAGACAGTGAGACAATAAAATAATTTTCTGTTTTTTTTGTTCTTGCTACCTCCAAATATGAGAATTTACACTTACCTGCCCTTGATTGGGCAATAGGTTGATAAAAATATGCACGAGAGGTGAAGCTTACATTGTTATAGGTTTAAAATAAGACTAGCTTAAATAACAGTTAAGTATATATTTTAAAAAATGTGTGATCACTCTTTCCCCATCTCCCTCTCTATTCTGTATGGCACAAGTACAGTAGAAAGGTTTCAAAACAAAATTAACAATATAGTTATGTCCATGTAAGTACAGAAGATTTTAAATCAATGTGTGACATTTAATCATGTTCGAACACAATGTTATAGTTACAACAAAACATGCTACCTTAAAGTCACATGATGGAATTAAGTAATCACAAAGTTACCTGAGGTAAGAAATTGTATGTATTGTAATTTTCAACATGTCACAACCCTTATTTACAACAGAGAGCAAATGTAAGAAGTATATTTTCTCTTTTAAACCATGAGCGCATGTCTGTCTTTTAATCCCCTTCAGCCACCACTTTATTAATGCAAATATACAACCACTTTTAAGTGGAGAATAATAGATAGACATGAGCTGACTATGTATAAAGTAAGCTAAAAAGTGGATGTTCTCATTATCGTATGGAGATTCAAGAAATTTTTATGACCCCTGCCAATGAAAACAGATTTCTACTTTGAAAATACGTACTTTTGTTTAATGTAATTACATAAAGTTCTAGATTGGATGTTGACCATTCCAGCACTTAAAAGAAAAATGCGCGTTTTGAAATTTTATTTTGTAGCAAATTTGGCATGTCCTTAAGTGCAATCATCCTTTGTTATTTACTGAAAATTTCGTATTTAACATCAAAGGACAGACAATTCTAACTGCTTAAAACTACCATTGAATTAGAACTTCAGTGAGCAGTATTTAGGGGCCTGTATTTAGAGCTTTCTTAAGATAAATCAATATAGAGCTTATTAGCTCACCTGAGCCAAAGGCTCAAGTGAGCTTTTCTGATCGAAATTTGTCTTCATCGTTGGCGTTGTTGTTGTCGTAAACTTATCACATTATCATCTTCTTCTCCAAAACTACTGGGCCAATTTCAACCAGACTTGGCACAGAGTATCCTTGGGTGAAGGGGATTCAAGTTTGTTCAAATGAAGGGCCATGCCCTCCTCCAAGGGGAGATAATTACAAAATAGCAAAAAATTAATGGCATCATTGAAAAATCTTCCTCTCAAGAACCAATGGGCCAGGAAAAATGAAACTCGTGTGGAATCATTGTCAAGTAGTGTAGATTCAAGTTTGTTCAAATCATGACCCCCGGGGGTAGGATGGGGTTACAACGGACGATCAAAGTTTTACATAGGAGGGTATAGGAAAAATCTTCAAAACTCTTCTTCTCAAGAACAGCAAAGCCATGATTGGTCATATTTATATGGAAGCATCTGCAGGTGGTGTAGATTCAAGTTTGTACAAATCATGACCCTGGGGGTAGGGTAGGGCCACAATGAATGATCAAAGTTTTACATAGGAATATATAGAAAAAATCTTTAAAAATCTTCTTCTCAAGAACAGCAAAGCCATGGTTGGTCATATTTATATGAAAGCATCCTCAGATAGTGAAGATTCAAGTTTGTTCAGAGCAATAACCCCCAGCAGTAGGGTGGGGCCACAATGAAAGTTCAAACTTGTAGGGAAAAAGTTAGTTAGTCAAAAAAAAAATATGTAAGCATCCTTAGTTAGTGTAGATTCAGTTTTGTTCAGTTCATCCCCCTTCTCCCACTCCCTTTTAGGGGTAGGTCGGGACCACTTATGCATTTAAGATTTTAAATACTAACATGATTTTTGCTTCTTTTTTTCCCTAGCACAGTGCTCAGGTGAGCCATGTGGCCCCTGGGCCTCTTGTTAACTTGTATGCCATTGTTTTCATTTAGAACAAAGTGGTAACCCAGTCCTACCCTGACTTCTCCATGCCATTTCAGAAGACACAAGTGAAATCTGTGAGTATGATGATTTCCAAATATTTTTCCCTTTGATTCTTTGCAAATTGGAAAACAGTTTATTTTCACTACCATGAATGAGCATGAATATCTCCATTGTTACATCATAATACTGTACTTGATATCAAAACCATAGTGTTAAGTGCTTTGTTTTAAAATTAATATGACATATAGTTGATGGACATAATTTATTGCCAGTCCTCTGGTATGTAATTTAAATACAAGATTTTACATGTATATATACTTGAGGTGCCTGAATTACAATGCTTCATGCCTGTATATTTATCTTGTATGCCATTGTGAAGCGTCATAGTTAATGTACTCGGGATTTCTCAAAAAATATTCATTTCTTAAGTACATGCTTGTTAATCTTTTATATACCCCTGCAAACAAAGTTTGGGGAGTATACTGGAATGACCATGTTTGTAGGCAGTATTTGTCAAAAGATGATCATTGAAATGACTCATTATTTTTTTCCAAACTTTATAGAATATATGTGGGGTGATCAAAAAGTTTGCGAACTAATTGAATAACTTCGATAAAAGAAATAAAATTAAATTTCGTTGTTTATTATTATTTAAAGTAGTCCTCTCCAATTTTAATTCACATCTGCCACCATTCTGCCCATGCGCGAATCGTGATCCAGGCGGTCACTTGACATGCTCCCTAGCAGTCTGTTCAGAGAAGCTAAAAGATTTTTCTGAGTCTTATATTTCTTACGATGTAAGTTATTTTTTAAAACAAGAATTGTCCATTTGTCATAAATGGCCACATCTCGGCAATAGGTATGTTTGATAATGATATCTTTTCCCACAATGAGCATGGTGACCATCACAACCCGACTTCTCTGTCTTGTGTGCGTCTTTTTTCCATTGTGGATAAAGTATAGATGCCTTCTTTTTATCATATCTGATGTGTTTAAAGACTAAAGTAAATGGTACTTTAGGGATTTAATAATTATAATATTCTTAAAATATTCGACTATATTTCTAACTGTAACTTGGCAATCTTTCATAACAAATTGCTCAACTAAGGATACATCTCTTCCCCAGCTTACTTTCACTGGGCACCAGAACAAACATCAATTTTAACCATCTCCCTTCCTCCACTAAAACAATCAATCCAATTAATGATTGAACTTCTGGCAAGTTTTTTGTCTTCATAAACCTTGTACAAATTATTATATGCTACTGCAAAGGAATTTCCAAGATATACGTTAAACTTCACAGCCTTTCGTTGCTCGAGTACGACTGAGTTAGCCATTTTTATTGGGGCCTCGCAAGGATTTGCGGGTGCCCCATAGTAATCACTCTGTCTGTCTGTCCGTCTCTCATTCTTCCGTCCACAAATTTTCTGTTTTTCTCTAATAACTTTTTTTGTAGTTGACCAATTAAGTTCAAATTTGGTATGTTGGTTGAAGAGGCAGTAAGACATATTTTGATGCTAAGTTTGGTTCTCTGTCATCCAGTTTGGAGCTGGGGTGGTGGGGTAGATTCCTTAACTTTACATTAGAATGAATGCCAGGGCAAAGAGAGATAACTGCTGAGAATGTTCCTATTGTAAACTATGAAAGCTGCAACTAGTCCCGTGGGATTAATTAACTTTCCTCTTGAAGAAAATCCAAAGCATTTTATGTTTCTGTCAAGTTGAGAGTAATTAATACCTCTGTCTGCAAATGAAATTTGTTTTGAAGTTAAGGTCAATTCTGAATGATGTTTACATTCGCTGAAATGTTGATTTAAATAATGTTGATACTTTATTTTGGTAAAATACACAATGAGTTATGATTTTATTGAATTCTAAAAACAAGATATACATAAAGATATGTGTTGTTTTTTTTTTTTTGTTTTTGTTTTTTTTTTTTTAATATATATATATATATATATATATATATATATATATATATATATTATTTATTTATTCATTTCTTTTTTTTTATTGCTACCGTATGTAAATTCAAGAACACTATTAATTTTAACAGGTAGTCCAATAATAAACTCATTCTATCATTACTGAAAAAGTTCTTATTGTAAACTTGGAAGAAAAGGATGAGAGAGCAGTACAATTAATCCCCTGGGATGAATTATCTTGTCTGAGGCAGAAATGTTTCCAGGCTTATCTTTATTTGTCACTTTAAGATAAATTAACCTTTGTCTGCAACTGGTGTTTGTTTTGAAGTTAAGGTCAAGTCTGGGTGATTTTGCATTCACTGAAGGCTGGCATTTTATAAAACACATGCTTTTTTCTTGTTTAAATATACATTTAATTGAGTTATTATAGATATGATGTTTTTACTGCCTTATGTAAATACAGGGAGGATACTCTTTACAGGTTGTTGCATATTTAGGAATTATCTTGAAATTTTATAAATACAATTGTTATTGCATATTCTTCTTCATATATTTTTAAATTTTTGTAATCAATTAAAATTCTCTGTAAGCTGCACCCTTATATTTCTACCCCTCCGCGGGGCCCTTGCTGACTGGTCAGTTTTCTAGTTTGTTACAAGTCACCTACATATTGATGTCATTTTCACATTGTGACATCACAAACATGGAGCAAAACATTACGTAACATCTGCTTTTTATAGAACATGTTTATGACTATTTGTGTGCCAAATTTCATTCTGATCTGAATAGTGGTTTAGTATATATAGAGATAGTTTTTGATCACCTCTTGTACATTTGAAGTTGTGCACCTAGTATTTTTAGATAATGACTTTTAGGATTTTACTGTACATAACTTCTTTGACAAAATTAAGAGGAGTAAAATTCATGTCTGGGTGAAACTTTGTAACAGGAAACTTCAGAGATTCATACTTTATACAAAGGTAGCTTGTGTCCAGAAATATGCCTTGACACAGTACCAAGGTTATTTTGGACAAGGTCATATGGTTCAAAGTATTAAATTATTGTCTTAGAAGCATATCCTTACCATAAAAATATATATTTTTGATCATGTTTCAAATGTACAGTGTTTAATTTACATTAATCATACTTCACTTTCATGATTCATGATTGTGTCGTGTACTGTCTACATTCTAGATTATTCTGGATCCATGGTATAAATTCCTGCAATTTGTTTATCTTGCTTGACTATTGCTAGAAACTGATAATATTTTATGCACTTTTACTTTGGCCCGAAGCTGTATACTGACCTGTACAGAGGGTTATGTCTCCTACTTTTCTGAACCAGTTGATCTTTGCTCTAAAACTCCTGACAAATTTTTCTTACGAAAAATTGTATGTCAGTTTCGGAAATATATGAGAGTTACCAAAGTTTTTGTACCTCCAGATTTCTTGAGTATTTTTGTGAAAAGAACTTTATGGTCAGTTTTTGGCTGGAAATTAAAAATGAACATAAGAATTTTTGTGAGGTCAGTTGATCTTCACTGAGCTATTGGTAAGTTTATTTTCTGTTCACTTGCTAATACTCTGCAATACAGAACTAAATATTCTATTGTCAGTGAATGGCTTTAGGAGATTCAATAATAATGCTAATATAGCCTCTGATGTAAACTGTTTAAAAGATTGTTTTCAGTAATGGAAAATTGCACACTGTATTTTATAAACTTCTTAAAATGTAACCTCCCCCCCCCCCCCCCCCCCCCCCAAAAATAGATACCGGTAAACTAGTACATCGTCATTCTCCTTTAATCTCCATCAACTGTGGTGCTATGTTTAATCTGTAAATCCTTGAGTTGTTAGTTCATTTAGGTTTGTGATTTTGTACTTTGCCTTAAAACCAGGTCTCAGCTTGAAGTATCTAGGCATGTTTTCTCATCTTGAATGAAAAGATTCTAACCAACAAATATTGACATCTTTTTATCAGCAACTCAAAGATAAAAAAAATTGTTTTCAACCTCTAATCAAGATGTTATATTATCCTCCCATTAGGATTCAACAATTTATGATGACAAGTGAATATTATGGGCTAAGTGAATCTTGCATATATTTCTCTCACTTGACTAATGGTTGGTTGACAATACTTTCTATAATATGGATATTGGATAACTTTTTTATTTAATACTCTAGGTCCCATTTGATATGTATATTTTTGTTTTACTGTTTGTGTTATATTAAACAGCCACCAAAGGATGATGAGGACATATGTGTGATCTGTCATGATGGCCTGAGTTCTGAAGAAGTCAAGAATTTGGAATGCGGACATATTTTCCATGCAGGGGTATGTTAAGTAGTCCTTTCTTATATTTTTGAAAAAAAAAATGCCTTCTTTTGAAAAGTCCAATTTGCACTACATTGTGGCCATATAAATTAAAATTCAAGAAATAAAGATTTTTATGCCTGACCATGAATATGGACAGGGCATGTAGAGTTTGTTATGTCTGTCTTCCGTCCCTCTATCTGTCCTTCCGTCACACTTTGCGTTTAGCTCAGTTTTCAA